GTATTTCTTTGTGACTTTAGAAAGGCCATGTCAAACATTTCTCCTGTTATTAGATTGCCAGTTCTTTCAAACTTCTGTGTTGGCACTGTGGACTAGGCACTGACTGGATGTCCACAAAGTCAGTAGTTCAAACCCACCAACCTCTCTGCAGGACAAAGATGAGGCTGTCAGTTCCCATAAAGATGTATAGCCTCAGAAACCCGATATCGGGTCAGTATGAGTCGGAACTGACTCATTAGTAGTTGGTTTGGTTTTGGATTTTATATATTCAACACAAATGGAAGCAGTAGAGGGGAACGGTCAGGCTGCCTTTGTTCAGTCAAAGCTTGGGGTGTATGTTTGGGCCCAAGAGATGCTCAATTCCTGTGGTAGCAGAGGTATGACAAGAGTTCACTAGTGAGGTGGACTCTGAAACAACCTGAAGAGCTTGTGATAATCTTTAATTATGTGGCTCTTGCCCAAGAATATATTTGCTACAAACTTAAACAGAAGTGTTGTCCTTCATTCAGGAAAATGCTGTAAACCTATAATATAAACTTGGAATCATATCCTCAGAGTGGGGATGATGCTGCCAAGGATCATGTGTGTGCATACACACACAGACACACACAGAATCTATTAGTAAACCTTGATAGGCACCTGGGGAAATGGGTTTCTTCTTGGGATGGTCACCAACCTACAAGGGAACCTCACCCAGGAACCTGGTCTCATTATGACCATGTTCCATCCAGATGAAAGACGATGACCCCTGACTCTCAGAAGAGAATTCTGTACACAGCCCCATACTGTGTCAAACAAAATTAGACAGTCAGCACTTTCCCATGTGAAATGGGCTTGAAGTGGCTGAGACAGGGAAAGGATTTCATGGAGTTTAAGGTGATGGATGGCCAGAACAAGTGAATGGTATAAATTCCTTGAATCGCTTTATAGGAATCAGATAATTAGCAGATAAAAATCATTATCAGCTTTCCAAGAACCTTACACATACTGCCTATTAGTAATTATTAAGTGTTGTAGAGTTGCTTCTGACTCATAATAACCTGATATAGGGTTTCCTAGGAATATAGCATCTTAAAAAGCGATAAGATGTAAGTAATGCTATTTTTTTAAAAAAAACAAAACAAAACAATTTTTCTTAGGAACGTTGGCAAATTCCTAAAATAACTGAAATTTGTTCTTGGTCTGATTAATAACATTGTAAATCAAAATTGTTCAGAAGGTAGAACTTTTATTTCCAGAAGTGATGAGGAACCCCAGATGAGATGAACATTTTTTACATGGATAAGCAGACATGAGAGGAACCAACCTGAACTGGTACTAAGTGTGTTTATGTAGGGGTGCATTACCAAAGAATAAAGGCAAGAGGGTTAAGCAAGAAAGGCTTGCTTATGTTTACTTACTAAACTGGGTGTTCTGTCCTTGTTAGGAATTGTGAATTTGAAAAGATGCTTTGATTCTATAGGAAGGTGCTATGGGGCTGGGAAGCAGCCATACCTAGAAGCAGATTCCTTGATGTGGTGAAAAAATATGAAACTGTTCATTAAAGATTAGTAAATAAGCACATGAAAACCTGTGCTAACTATATAACATTTTCTTCCTTAAGAGAAAATAGTGGTTCAGATTGCTTACAAGTCTAAATTAATAACTTCTTACAACGTACCTTTAGAACAAAGCAGTGGTCAGTGGGAGCTTTGTATTTCATTTTACACTGAGTTCCATAGTAAATGTTGACATTCTCAAACTGTATAAAACATGCCAGATCTCGAGATGTCTGAAAGAGAAGAAAAAAAACAAAGACCTCAACTGAGATGACAGCTCGTATTTTTCCTAAGGTTGTTCTTGCTGGCACAGCTGAGAATTACATTTAGTCGAAAAGATATTGAATTTTATGTAATTTGTTTTAAGCTTCTACCGTATACAGTTTTTGAAAAGTCAAGCTTGTATTTGAAGAGGTAAAAGAGTGTAACCAAGGCAAGTCAGAGTGCCACAAGCCCAGAAATGGAGTGAAAAATTACCCTACATTTGAGCACCTGCACACTGACTCCTGAAGTCAGAGCTCACTGACCTTGAGATACCGTTACTGAAGCAGCCAAGACAAGGTGAACACCTAGTGAGAAATTTCATTTTGGCTTCTGCCATTTGAAGCCTGTGATGGATTTTGTGATTGAGAATTTACCAAAAAATATAAACTTCTCCCTCATGATGAACAATGAAAGGTAAATTTGATTCTCAGTAAATTAGCATACACTTCGTGCACTTCTCCCTGACAGGCAAGATTTCCTTCAGGCTTTCTATAGAGTGCTGGTTGTGTGTTGCTATGGTAACAGAAACCTCCCTCCATAGATAATCTGCATGGTGAAGAGGGCAGCCTCAAATCTACATATTTGGCTACACATCTTTTCATCTTGAAACACAGCATATTTCTATTTTCAGATCTATCTCACTTACTTCCTTAAATTTTATATTTTATGTTGTATGGGTTTTAAATATTTGTTAAATTTATTGCTAGATATTTTGTACTTTTCATTCCTACATGGATGGGATTTTTAAAATTTCTTTTATTAAATAAATGTTTTATTGTGAATTGTGTGATAGTCTACATGGGAGAACATTAGTTTTACATTCATTCTATCATCTATCGTTTCATTGGCATATTTACCATCCTGTCCATGCATCCTCACTCAACCAAAGGGTGTACCCTGTAAGCCTGCACTCCCTCCCCCCCCCAACCACAGTCCTCAGCTCCTTTCCATCTCCTGATCCCAAGTCCCCAGCCACTCCATCTCTTGACGTCTTCTTCTCTGGGTAGGATCCCGTTCTCTGCTTTTCTCCGTTGATGGTCTTAGGGTCCTCCACTCCTAGACTGAAAAGTTAATCACTCCCCTCCTTGCTACAAAAAGTCCACCTTTAGATTTCCAACCCTCACAATCAGTCCTGATAAGAATTATTCACTATTGCATCACAAGAGACCCATCTGTATTTCGTTTCATCAGCCCTTCCTGGACAGGCTGGATACTATTCCCTGGAGAATCTACCTTCCTCCAAACCCT